CCAGAAAAACACCCCCCCCCCCCCCCGCGCCAACAATCCTGTGAAAAGAAATATTAATTAGTGTTTGAAATGAGTCAGTAAAATTTTACTTAATGACTCGGCAAAATTATCTTACACTCCCCATCCCCTCCCCCATTCAGATAGGCCTAACGTCACTTAATTTCACTTTACATCATTGTATCATGATAACAAGACGGCTGAAAACTGAGCAACACGACGAAACTGACGATTTAACGTTAAATAACGTCTTTCATGTCAAATCCAGCAGCCCAGATGGTGAGAGAACAACAGCAAATTAGTCTGTGTATCACAATAGCAAATTCGTCTGTTTTTTTTTTTATTTCCAGTATTTTAAAAGTAGCGTAGCCAGCCCGACAATTTAGTTCCGCTATGCAAGTATTTTCTTGTTCATTGACTGTGAAAACAATCAATTTCTAAAGAAATGAATAATGATAATAATTTTGAATTTGCATAGCGGGACTAAATTGTCGGGCTGGCTACGTCACTGATTTTAAACAGTTTCTCGGCAACCTGTTGCTCATTGTCACGCTCGTGCGTGTTGTTCTTTCTCCTTCGCATGCTAGGAGAATTTCAAAGCCGATCTTTTGAGTTAAATTGTTTACTATGTAAATATCTTCAATTTATATCATAAAAGAAATAGAAAAACTACCGGTAGTCTCGTGCGTTTATGGTGCGATAAAACACTCGGAGAATCTTTGGAGAATACTGGAGAAGAGTGTAAAACACTCGGCTACGTCTCGTATTCTCCACGCTTCTCCCATTCTCCCAACATTTTCCGCGTGCTCTATCACACCATAAACGCACGCGTTTTCTGTTTCTTAAATACCAGGAGCCGGTTGTACGAAAGGTGGATAAATTGCTCTCCGGTAGATAAGTCACTATCCAGCGAACAGCTGGGTAATTAATTGTTGCGCATGCACCAGATTAGCCAAAATTGCCATTGACGATTTCCCCAGAGAAAAGAGCGAGACGCTGGCGGTTGTGGTATATTTTTGAATGCCTGTTTAACCTTTATGCTTTTTTGCTTGAGGCAAAGACAAAGTAAAATGTACTTTACGTTTCCAGTGCATAAAATATCTCGTTTGAACAGCAATAGAATATTATAATCTTGACACAAACAAGAAGGCATGCTATAAAATATGCAGAATGCAGTAATGCCCTAGCTATATTGTATGTTATCTAATATTACCCATTATCAACAACGCGAAGGTAGGTAGTTGTAACGCCGGGCGAACTTGGGCAAGACATTATTTTTGAATTTTTCAACAAACTTTGAATTTTACGAACTTCGTATAACGCACCTCTCGTTAAAATAGTTATCCTCAACCCCCCCTGATTTATTAATTGCACGTTAACGAATCAGGAGGGTTGAGATGAAATATTTTAACGAGAGGTGCGGTTACGAAGTTCGAAAAAGTCAAATTTTGACGGTTTGATTCCAGGGAAGATCGACTCACGAGTTCGGAGAAAGTACTTCGGTTTACATTTAAATTGTTTTAATTCTTCAAGGAAAAGCGAGAGAAAGGATTTTACTGGTTGGGAAGATTGAATAAACATAAGTATATATATATAGCCGTGGCTTTAGAAGCGTTTGGCAATATTTTATCGGCGAGTTTTGTTGAAAATAATGTCTTGCCCAAGTTCGCCTGGCGTTACAGTTACCTACCTTCACGTTATTGATAGTGGGTAATACTAGATATACAATATAAGCCGGGTTCAACGAAATGGCCTGAAAATCGACGAGAGTGAGGTAAATGACACAGTAAACGAGTAAGTCCACCAATATTTTGTATCAATGCGCAATTAAGCATTATTTTTTTTACAATATTTTACAATATATAAAGTGTATATTATATCACATTTTCATGAAGTTTTTATGTCATTATATGATTTATATCAAACTAAACCACCCCCAAATCACACAGAATACATGCATAAAGGAAACTGAGTCAGTTATACTTTTATTATAATTGAAAGTAAATTTTTAATGCAAAATTATAATAAAATTAAAAAATAAATAGCAACACAGAGCCTGGGCCACCTGTGTGCAAACTTGTGTGTTCAAAATACCAAGTTGTGTGTTGAAAATGCAAAACTTGGGTGTTAAAAATGCGAACTTGTGCGTTGAAAATGCAAAGTTGAATTTTGGCGGATATTGTACGCCCCGTTTCCGCCAAAATTACTTTAATGTTGAAATTAAAGGTCCAGACAAGGCGGTGATCGCACTACGACCGCAATGCATTATTTTGGATATTTTCTTCAAGATGGCGGATTTCGAGCACGATGAAAGGTATGTTGGCGCTCTATTTTCTGCCACGTTTTAAAGTTTAAACTTTTTGTTTTTTCTTAAAAAGGAAGTTGCATGTAATATTGTTATGCTGTGTTACTTTTCAAATCGATAATTTTTGGAATTTGATAAAAAATATCATTTGATTGTAAGCTCGTGTATTTTTCCTAAATACACTGGTCTGTTTAGTTTTTCATGTCACAGGTTAACCGTTCACACATCACATTTAAAATTGCAATTGGCATAATCTATGATCATTATTTAATGGCGCCCCTCAATCTTGTATCTTTTTGGGGCTTTTAAATCATGATGTTTCCTTTGCTAATTTCAGGTCTTCTTGTCCAGAGTTCATGTTCTCCCGCTATTTTGGGGAAGCGTTCGTGCATCCCAGAGTCCCATACGCCAGGCAAATAAAAAACAAAGCGGCAAAGAAATAATAAACGCAAAAGAGAAGCAAAAAACATTTTCAAATGGAAAAAATAATGTGTGTCAAAATGAGCAAGACCAATGGCAGACTGTTGCAGGACAACCGAAGAGGCGAAGAACAGACTTTAATAATGGGACTGTTTCATATTTGACAGGATCAATGACTGTCTGGTGGTGAAAAACCATTTGTGCTTGTTGGAACTGTTTCTTGTATTATAGTCAGTTGGAGCAACTGGCAATGACTCAATAAACTTTTCCTTGGTTAATTTTAGATGTGTTAAAATTTTTGCCATTTCCACCAAGTTACCCATACCATTTGTTTGTAGCTTTAAATAGCACTGAAACATGACATGCATACTGTAGTCCACATTGCTGCAAAATGCCTTACTACGGATGTAAATATAACACAGATACATGTACAGGCATAATACAGATAGTGTCTCACACAAATAGTGTACAGCATTATACCCAGGCATTCACCAAGTCAATGTTGAAAATAATAGTTCTGTGTAAATTTTACCCCACCCAGGCCATCCCATTAAAAGCAGCACACCCATGTCAATAGTTGCACACAGTGTATTAATTATGTTATGGTATGAACTACTTTGCATAATTATATATTTGAACAGCCAGGCTGACCTGGTTCCCAATCTGAAAAAACTTTCTCCCTATAAACACAAACTGGGCTGGCGTGGATGGAAGTTCTAAGAATGCTGCTGTGAGTTATGTAGAAAAACTGTTAAAACACTGTAAACCCACTACACTTGTGCTGTTTATAAAGCATATACAATCACAATAAATTTGTTATTCATATATTTTATAACACTTCATTGAACAATGTTTTACTAAGTTTATACATGACCACCATCATCATTGAAATGCAAACAAAAACATCCCATTTTCACACTGATATAGAGCATTTGCACATGACGTCACAGCCACCATGTTGGTGTTCCAATTCATTTTAATTAGACTCTTGTCTGGAACACCAACATGGCCGCCATGGCTTTTGTTGAGTTGGCCCGTGGGGAATGAGTGCAAACGCTCTATACAACAAGGTCTGAATCTTCAGACACTGCAAAACCGCAAGCCTCAAATCAAAGCGCCTGGGGACGAGGAGCCCTGGCAAAACCAGCATATCCATTATTCACAATAAATGCAATTTGTGCATCTGCTTCATATGGCGCCATTATGTACTGAATTGAATATTTTTTCACAGCAAAGCTGAAAGGTGGATAATAACAAATTGTTATTTACTGCACACAACTAGTTTCCAATTTACTCTCTATAATTTTTTATGCATTTGTACATAAAAGGGGTGTCATTTAAAAACAGGAATTTGAATTTTGCAAAACAAATTGATCCAACGTCTGATTAGCAAGGCATTGGCATGGATTATAAATTGTTGTGACATTCCCGTGCACCAATAAAATGTAAATTCTGGGTAGGGGTATAGGCAAGGTGTAAGGATTTGGAATTTTTTAAAAAAATTTTGGGTAAATTCTAGTGAGTGGAAGGCTAGAACAAAGTTCTTGAAAACTAGATAGTATGTGGTTCAATTTAAACCACATCATTTTTCTTACTCTCCATATATTGTTATGCAAGGTGTTTTTCTGCCAGCTGCAAATTGCCATTGCAATGATTTTTTATTACTTAGGCGCTACTGTATTTATATGATCTTGGATACTAGAGACACCCAATCCCCACCCGAGACAACTTTACTGCACATTTAATCTCTTCCTACGAGAATGGCTCTAAGTAGGAGATTGTGACTCCATGGAAGCAGAGACAAACATGTAAACACATGGACAAAAGTTGTCCCTCCTACAAGGGTAACCCTGTTTCGTAAACAGGGTGTCCCTACTGCCAGGGTGACCCTACCAGCCCAGACGAGTTGAAAACTTTCCATATAAACACTTGCGTTTAAATGTTATATAATGAATATAATTTTGCCTCTCCCAGGGTAGCTCGGAGGGTAGAGAGTGTCTCTATTACCCGAGATCATATAAACAGCACCTCAGTCACATTATTATCCCCTACCCCTCAACATCTCTATTCAATGCTGCATAATATTTACAATATTTGTGATCATACCAAAAATTGAATTGGCATGGCATACAAAATATGTGAAGATTATGATTTTCATCCCATAGTTTTTAGGTAAGATTGTGTAGTCAAACTATAGAAATTGTGACCGATGATGGCATTGGAAGTACTAAAATGATGGGCAAATTCTATTAAAGCATAACTAAAATTACATGGAATTTTACAGTAGCTTGCATATTGTATATGTATTAAATAATATAATATTGCAGAAAAGTTTCCGTGTCTATGCATACTTTTACCGTATGTCCACAACCCTGAAACATTTGCATAATAATTATAATAACAATACAGTCATATAAAGAACAATAAAGCAAATAGAATATACATAAGTTTAGCGATTGAAACACTGCACAAACCAATAAGTAAACATATAAATAAATTAAAACAAACATATTTGCGATCATCGCCAAACCTTTGAAACTCACAGCCAACGCTTTGTGCAGTCAGCAGGATGCATCGACTGCACAAACTTTTCCAGAAGTTCTTTGACATGTACTGCCACTGTTGATTCTTTCAAGAAGGGCAATAGACAATTTTATATACCCATCGCTCGGCCGTGCACAGTGTTTTCACCTCGAACGTCAGAACGCTAATGAGTGAATTTTTATTTTACTCATGATGCATTGCGGTCGTAATGCGATCACCGCCTGGCTATGTCCTGTGGCTGTGAAAATTTGAGAAAAATTTGTTTAAACCCGAAGGAGCACAACTCGTTTAAGAATCAGTAATTGCCGTAAAATTCTTCGGGAGAAAATTGAATTTGAATATTACATTTTCAATGTTTTTCTTATTGCAAGTGAAATGTATTTATTAAATAACTCTGCAAAAGTTTTCAACATTTTTCGTCCAAACTTGGTCAGATAGTAGAACTAGTCTAATGCTTTCATGGAAACCAATAAAAAAATTTTAGGCAAAATTAACCCTCAAAGGTGTTCTGTAACCTTAACAGTATTAATCCATATAGTATATAATATATCTTAATGACTGCCATGTATACTAAGTTTCACCAAGGAATTAACTTACAGTACTCACATAGCCATGACCGCAATACCATATGTGCATGCATGGATGGACAAATATATTAAATACACAGTGTACAACAAAGACTAAATTCACAATATGTCACTGCATGGTCTACTTTCCAGACCCTGTGAAGATATATTTAAGAAAACCATACTCATATGAGATGCAGGAAAATTACACAACACAAAATCACAAGTGACTATGTAAATCTTATCACAAATTCCAAATTTGCAATATCGCAGTATGGTTGAATCCGACCCTGCAACTGAAATTCATGTGCTGGATCAAATCACACCTATCAATTACCAAGTAATAACTTTACATACAGTAAGTGGTAACTTCAATTACGATATTTCTGCTGTGGATTGATATAAAAAGACACAAAACAGCGCACGCATTACACACGTGCAACGTTTTATAAATTTTTTCACGGCATGGTCTACTTTCAAGACCCCGTTGAAAATATAAGAAATCCATTGGGTAAATAGTGATTATAATTAAACCAGAGGTCCAAGACGCATGTCGAGGTCCTATTAGGGACCGCTCATTATTTATTGTACAGGGGGGGATTGAGGAGAAACTGGGGGGGCCTTCAAATTTTTCAAAACCTGAAAGGGGGGGCTTTGAAAAAATACAGAGAGACGAAAGAAGGGGGGCTTTGAAAATATTTACCAGTTTGAAAAAACAGTAGTTTTTAAAATGTATCACAAAACAACTTAACAACAAATAACAATATTTATATACTTTAATATTCATAAATGGAAGTCAAATAAAAAGTCTCTCATGTTCATGTAAATAGACAATTCCCATTATAGACTAATTTTAGAACTAGGCAAAGAGATGCAAATCAAGGCCGGATTTTGGTGAAAATAGTGGGGGAGGTGGACAAAAATTTTAGGAGAGGTGCAGCGGTCTAGCTCACAACTCCCATGGAAAGTTAGGGCCTATTGTAGAACAGGCCAATATCAACGAGGTGAGATATGCATGTAGTGTACATAATATGTACCAGTGTATTAATGAATTATGAATGTATGACTCCAATCTTGCCCTTCATTACAATTGCTACACTGTTCCTTTCAAAACATTGCATTAAAAGGGTGCTTGACATGGCTATCACTGTTTCAATTTTACAGAGAAAACTTTCTTACGTCACAAAGTGTAGATCCTAAGCAACCATCACATTTTCACTTTGTTCCATCATTGAAACTTTCCAAAGGGGAAGTGCATGACCTTTCAAGAGAGGTGGAAAAATTCTCAGGGGAGGTGCAAAACGATCTCTGGGGAGGTGCGCACCTCTCCACACTTCCCTCAAAATCCGGCCTTAATGCAAATAAATCACCACAGCTAGAAAGAGCATACTAAAATAAGCAAATTATTGCAAAGTTTGGTTGCGAATTGTTGCAAAATACGGAAAATATAGCCTTGCAAAGTTTGCAAATTTTGTACACTTTTGTATTGCATGCGAAAATTGCAATTATACAAAAGAATACAAAATTTGCAAACTTTGGAAGGCTATGTTTTCTACATATTTTACAACATTTTGCAACCAAACTTTGGAATTTTACTAATTTTAGTATGCCCTTCCCGGGAATATACTTTTTTTGCTAAGATAAAAAATTAGTCTATAATGGGAATGTCTATTGGTCCCCATTACCTATTTTTCTTTCTCTAAAATAAACAGCTAGAGTTTTTGTTTCTCTAAATAAAGATAAAGAGCTAGAGGGGGCAAAGTGTATGTTCTTGTTTTGCCTGTTGGGGGGGGGGGCTTTGAAAATTTTACTTGTCTTAAGAGGGGGGCAACGAAAAAATATTACAACTGTAGAGTTTCTCCTCAGTCCCCCCCTGTACAATAAATAATGAGCGGTCCCTTACCTATCCCAAAATTCAAACACTCATTAATAATTCATAAGCTTATTGGCAAATCCTGTCAACCATAATATGTCATGTGCAGTGACTTTAAACCTGATAAAACACTCCAATACTAATAAGGCAGTATCTATTGTAGTCGTGTCCTCATTAGCATTCTTTATATAAAGAATACTAATAAAGGTGGATAAAGCAGTATATCTATTGAATTTGCAGTCGTGTTTGAAGCTGTTTAATAAACTCTCAGGTCGGGTTTTATTAGGTCTAAAGCCACTTGTGCTGCGTGCTCATGGCTTTAAACCTAATAAAACACTCCTGCTCGTTTATTAAAAACAGTACTTAAAATGTAGCGTTTTTAATACCCTGTATTATTTTGTATAGATTTCACTTTGTAGCATTTTGTATTTGCTACACTTTCATATAGGGTTTATATAGAATTCACTTTGTAACGTTTTGTAGTGCCCTACAGGAATACTACGGCAATATATCTTGCACTTTTAAACAGTGTGTTTTTTTATTGTAGCGTTTTGTAGCATTATTTTATATAGAATTCACTTTGTAGCATTTTGTAGTGCCCTCCAGAAATACTATGGCAATATTCCTTGCATTTTTAAACAGTGTGTTTTTTATTGTAGCGTTTTGTAGCATTATTTTATATAGAATTCACTTTGTAGCGTTTTGTAGTGTGCTACAGAAACACTACGGCAATATCTGCTGACTTGTAGCATTATTTTATATAGAATTCACTTTGTAGCATTTTGTAGTGTGCTACAGAAACACTACGCCAATATCTGCTGACTTGTAGCATTGTTTTATATAG